CATCCGTCCACCCCTGTGTCCTTTTTGTCCGTTAATCGAAGTCTCCTGCCAGTTGTCCGTCCACCTGTCCATCCGTGTCTTTCTGTCCGTACGTCCAACTCTCCCAGCAGCCATCTCTCCACCTGTGTCCTTCTGTCCAGTTGCAGCCCTCCCACCAGCTATCTGTCCGTCCACCCCTGTGTCCTTCTGTCCACGTCCAGCTCTCCCAGCCAGCTGTCCGTCTGCTAGCCCAGCGCGTTCCTATCCAGCCGCTCACTCACCCCCGCAGCCCCTCCTCTCCAGCCATCTGCACACCACACACCCCCTCCCACCTTCGGCCAGCCCCCTCCTGTCCCCTCTGCGGCCCCTGAGGCCCGTGCCAGCAGGAGTGATGGGGGGAAGGGGTGGAGGAGTCAGGGGGATGGGTGCTAGAGGAGGAGCGGCACAGGTCACAGGACGCCAGGGCGCCCTGCCGAATGCGGCATGTGCCAGGGCCGGGCAGGGGGCAGGACGCCCTAGGTCTGCATAGCTAGTCCCCAGTGGGGTCCCTGAGGCTGGAGGTGGCCTGGGGCTCTGAGGAGCAGAGGAGCAGGGGGCGGTGGGGCCCGGGGTGCGGGGTGGGTGTGAGGAACTGAACCGAGGAGGGACCGAGGTGGGGGTGCTGGCAGAGGGGCCCCCGGGGGCCACAGAGCTCCAGGGCCTGAAGGGACGGGTGGAGAACAGGGCTCGAAGGCAGTGTCGGGAGCCTGGCCAGGAGTGTGGGTGAGGGCGGCGAGGTGGGGCGCCGAGAGCCCAGCGGGTGGGGGCTGAGGCTGCCCCTGACCTCACTCTGCTTCTCTCTTCGTGTAGGTAGGGAACCTCGGCCTACTTTTCATGCTCCTGTTTTTTATCTATGCTGCCCTGGGGGTGGAGCTGTTTGGGAGGCTCGGTGAGTGTGCGCAGCTTCGCCCACGCGCATGCGGCCCCTCGGGCACCGGGTGCCCGCCCGGCAGACACCGGCCACCCGCCTCCTGCCCCATCTGTGTCCTCACCCAGCCGCCGCCCCCATCAGCCCTCACTGCCCAAGACCCGCCCGTGCATCGGCCTCACACAGGGGCATCCGCGCATCCGCAGGAGTGTGGTGCCAGACCCCTGACACGCATGCACACACGGATGTGCGCGGATACACACGTGTTCACGCCTAGCCCGGAGGACAGGGCCATACGTGAGCGTGAGGAAGTGTGCGCGTGCAGATACGCACTCGCACGTGCACCCGTCTCCCCGCTTCTTGTGGTCCCTGGGATGCAAACGCTGCCCCGTGTCCTTTTTAATGGTCACCGGGGATTCTTTCCACCCCCCAGGCCCGAGGCTCTGGCCAGCGTGGGCAGGGAGCAGGTGGGGACTTTCCAGGACAGCCCAGTCCCTTGGGATCTCCTCAAAAACACCCGATGTCACTGAGCGCTTAGTGGCTGCCGGCAGCCGCCAGCGTGGACTTGTCTATAAGGCCGCGGAGGTGGCTGTCACAGCTCAGGGTCTGCCCAGAGGGGATCCTGGGACTCAGCAGCTGGTGCCCCAGACCCCAGCCCCCCTATTCGGGGTGCTTCCTATGCCCCACGACAAGGCAGCCGTGTCCGTCCTGGCCCTGGGGCCCGAGGGCATGCTGACCTGAGAGGCAGCCCTGGGGAGCAGGGGTGCCCTCTGCTGGGGCTCAGCCAGAGCCGGCTGCCACGGAGGGCTTGGCCTGTGTACCCGCAGAGACCGTGTCCACCTGGAAAGTCTCACATGCCAGGGTGGGGCTCCAGGCAGCCCTGTTCCCCTCGCCCGGCCTTGAAAGGGCACGGCCCCCACAGAGGCCAGCACCCACCTGCCAGGGCCCCCGAGCTGCGCGTGGGTCCTTTTCCCCAAGAGAGCGCGATCTGCTCCCTGGGGGAGGGCAGGGCTCTCGGTTGGGTCCGGCGTGGCCCTGTGTGGCCTCGGGGCCCAGGGTATACACCGCCCAGCAGAGCCCTCAGGCTGACCGAGCGCGGGTCTCCCCGGCAGAGTGCAGTGACGACAACCCCTGTGAGGGCCTGAGCCGGCATGCCACCTTCTCCAACTTCGGCATGGCTTTCCTCACGCTGTTCCGCGTGTCCACGGGGGACAACTGGAACGGGATCATGAAGGTAGCGCCTGAGCCGTCGTGGGGGGCGGGGCGCCCAGGGTGCAGGGGGGGGAGGGGGGGGGGGGGCCGGGGGGGGGGGGGGGGGGCGCCCCGCAGTCGCCTGCTCTGCCTCCGCAGGACACGCTGCGGGAGTGCGCCCGCGAGGACAAGCACTGCCTCACGTACCTGCCAGCCATCTCCCCCATCTACTTCGTCACCTTCGTGCTGGTGGCACAGTTCGTGCTGGTCAACGTGGTGGTGGCCGTGCTCATGAAGCACTTGGAGGAGAGCAACAAGGAGGCCCGCGAGGACGCCGAGCTGGACGCCGAGCTGGAGCTGGAGGTGGCGCGAGGCGCCCCCGCCCGCCCCAGGCCCGCGGCCCCGCAGAGCCCGGACGCCCCCGGCCTCCTGGTCGTGCGCAAGGTGTCTGTGTCCCGGATGCTGTCCCTGCCCAACGACAGCTACATGTTCCGGCCCGTGGCGCCCGCCTCCGCCCCACACCCTCGCCCGCTGCCGGAAGCGGATGCGGAAACCTGCTCGGGTGAGGCCCCTGGAGGCGGCCGGTGGGAGGGGGCGGCCGGGCCTCCGCCAGGTGGCCGAGGCTGCAGCGTTCTCCCCTTCCTGCCCCAGGTCCTGCCCCGGGTCTGTCCACCTCTGCACACTCCCTGCCCGCGGAGCCCTGCACCTCCCTCCGGGTCTCTTCGGCCGCACCATCCCCAGCCAGGGACACCGACGCCCTCGGTGCCCTGTCCCCTCGGGGCGCAACCCGCTCCCCCAGCCTCAGCCGACTGCTCTGCAGACAGGTAGGAGAAGCCCTCCGAGTCCCGCGGCCCAGGCCTGGGGGCCCCACCGTGGTTCCCTCCCGTTTGAAAGATGAGTGGCGGGGGGACACCAGGGGAGGGGGGCACGCCCCTGCAGTCTGGGACGACGTACAGGGCCCAGGAACCGTGTCTCCTTGGGCACTAGTCTCAGTCCCGTGCGGCGCAGCACCCCTGAGCCTCGCCCGTACCCTGAGACCACTCTCCGCCTGCCGCGGCCTCAGATCCTCTCTCTGCCACGTGCCCTATGCTTGGGTTTCCGGGCCCTGCTGGCGCTGTGCAGGGTGGGGGCTCTGTGCCCAGCGGGGCCTCCCGAGCCACAGCAGGCTCTGCCCACGGGAGTTAAGGTCCTTAGTCCTCTGTCCTCGCTGTGCCCCCAGCACGAGTGGTGCGTTCGGCATAGGTGGGGCCCGGGGACGGCGTGTCCGCTTGCCCTGGGGAGTCTCGGTCCTACTCTGCGGGTGGGGTGGGGGTTCCCGCGCCCCTGGCTGCTGCCTGGGTCCTGCCCGGCCTCCTTGGTCACCTGACCCCGTATCCTTGCAGGAGGCCGTGCGCACCAGCTCCCTGGAAGGGCAGATGGCCGGCCCCAGGGATGGTGGCCCAGGCTGGGCGGAGCCCGGCGGGAAGACCCCCGTGAGGCAGGCGTCCCTGGGGGCCTCCGTACGGTCCCCACCCCGTTCCCCGAGGCCCGCCAGCGTCCGCGCCCGCAAGCACACTTTTGGGCAGCGCTGCGTCTCCGGTAGGCCGCCGGCCCCAGGAGGGGAGGAGGCCGAGGCCCCGGACCCTGCCGACGAGGAGGTCAGCCACATCACCAGCTCGGCGCAGAGCCCCTCGGCCTCCCCCGATGCCCCGGGAGCGGGCGGTGAGCCGGACCTGCACGGGTTCTGCGGCGTCGACGCCCAGGGCTTCCGGGGGCAGCCGGGCCAGGCGGATGAGCAGAGGCGGCCCTCGGCGGAGCAGGGAGGAGGGGACGGCCGCTCGGAGGTCCGGGAGGTGAAGACCCGGGTCCCGGAGGCGGAGCCCCCCTCGGGGGCCCGCAGGAAGAAGAAGATGAGCCCCCCCTGCATCTCCGTAGACCCCCCCGCAGAGGACGAGGGCACCGCGCGGCCCCCGGCGGCAGAGGGCAGCGGCACTCTGAGACGACGAACCCCGTCCTGTGAGGCCACGCCACACAGGGACTCCCTGGAGCCCGTGGAGGGGGCGGGGGCGGACATGGCCGCCAAGGGGGAGCGGCGCGCACAGGCGGCCTGCCGCGCAGAGCACCTGACCGTCCCCAGCTTCGCCTTTGAGCCGCTGGACGTGGGGGGCCCTGGCGGAGACCTGTTTGCGGACAGCGGCCACAGCGTGGCCCCTGAACCCAGAGCTTCCCTTTCGGGGGCCACAGTGCCTCCTGAACCCCACAAAACAGAGCCTCCCGTGCTCTCCAGCGACCCCCCAGAGAAGGGACGGGGGCTGCACCTCAAAGTCCTCCAGAGCCCCCCAAAGAAAGCGGGGTCCCCCCCGGCCACCCCCATCCCGGGTGACCACGTAGACAAGCCCGTGTAGCTGAGGGCACGGTGCCACACAGGTTTTAGCACTGGGGTTGGGGCGCACCCGGCAGGGTGGTGGCCCCGGGCAGGGCTGCGCGTGGACCCCAGCTCAGGCCCTGCGGAGGCAGAGGAGCCCGGGAGGCCGTCCGCCCAGGGAGAGGGAGGCAGACGCCGGGTCTGGACGAAGCAGAACAAGGGGTAGCCGTCGGCCTGGGAGCCTCCGGCCGGTGCGCTCGGGTTTGGGTTTTCCCAGCTCCGTCAAGGCGGTCTGAGGCCTGGTCAGCGGTCCCCTCGCGACCGCTGCATCCCTGGGACAAAGACCAGAAAACGACCAAAAAGAGGAAGTCGGAGGCTGCCCAGCAGAGCCCCGTCCTCACACCCACTTACTTTTCTAGGGAACACGTGCTCGGGGCCACCTGTGCTCTGGTTGGTGGCAGCTCGGTCCCCGAGGCCACCACGGCCACGCTTCACTGTTGCTCACGGTCTGAGTCCTCACCTGTTTGTCCCCCCTCCTCGTCCCCCTCTGTCCGCCTCCGCTCCCGGGCCCGCTGCCCAGCATCCGTGTTGGGGCGATAGAGGCACGCTCGCGTCCCCAGGGAGTGGGGTCCATGCAATAAGCCGGCGCCTCTGCTGGCGGCCCCGCCCGGGCTGGGAGGTTGCAGCAAAGCCCCTGCGGTTCGCGGACGTTTCTTTTACAAATTCAGGTTAAACGTTGCAATAATCTGATACAGGAAATTTGGCTGCTTAATGGAAGGGGGAAGGGGGTGGGGGGCAAAGCAAAGGGGAATAAATATTAACTTATTTAAGAAACGCGTTGGGTTATCGCCGTCGGGACCCGCACCACTGCCAGGAGCGCGGCGGGCCCGTTGCCTCACCGAGAGCGGAGCTGGGTGATGCTCCCGGGCCGGCCTCGGAGTCTCCATGGAGGCTTGGCCCGGCCCCCCTCTGGTTCTGGAAGAAAGAGCCAGGCTCACGAGAGGGGAACCAAGTTCACACGTGGGCATTCACACTCTGGGGAAACTTGGCAAGTTTTTGCCAGGGCTCCCAGCAGGGCTGGGTGCTGGGGGGCGAGCTGCTGAGGCTGCACCGCCTGCCCACTCGGTCCTCTTCCTGCCCCGAAGACTCTGGCCCTGACCTTTGACCTGCCCAGTGCCCCGCTGGCCTCCCAGGGCTCCTTCCCAGCATGAGAGTAGGTATAGACGGGCCGGGATAGGATAGGACTTGGGATGGATCCAGAGTCTTGTGGGTGACAGCTGTGACCATGCTGGTGGCTGAGGGTAGTGCAGACCAGCCCTGGGGCCAGGTCCAGGCCCTTCCTGCCACACGGCAAAGCAGAACCCCACCGTGGCCCCCCGGCCACGGCCGTCTCCAGGGTAGTCTGTGTGGTGGGAGGCTCCTCCTGGCTGAGGACAGAGCTTATGTGCTGTGACCCAGGGGGACGGGGACAACACCCGGTCTGGGGCCACGGTCTAACCTAAGCTCTCTGACACTGACCCCAGTGGGCAGAGGACACACAGTGAAGGGCCTCAGGTTCAGCCACTCCTTGCTTCACCCCATCTCTCGGGGGCTCACAGCCTCCCCGGGGCCAGGGCCATGATGTGTGTGCGCTGCAGGGTTAGGGGGTGCCCTGAGCCCATGTGCCAGGCCAGAGTGGGGCAGGGAGGGCCCGTTCACCTGTTGTGCAGGCGGGAGGAGGGAGGAGGGAGTAGCTGAGGGGCAGGCTCCGTGGCAGGCCCCACCTGCTCCTCCTGGGCACC